ATTAATTGGCCAACTAATATACATAGAAAAAATTAGCTGGGCATGGTGGCGCATGCCTGTAGTCCCAGCTACTTGGGAGGCTGAGGCAGCAGGATTGCTTGAGACCAGGAGTTTGAGGTTGCTGTGAACTAGGCTGATGCCATGGAACTCACTCTAGCCTGGGCAACAAAGCGAGACTCTGTCTACAAAAAAACATATACATATATATTGTTTTTTGGGGATCAGATGTTATTAATTTTATAAAAAGTTTATCACATGCTATATGTCATCCTTAAGGATACTTTTCACTTAATATTATATTGCTAAATTTAATCCAGATTGTGGCATATAATTGCAGTATTTAGACTGTTGTATAAATACATCCTAGTTTATTTGTCTATTCCCTTGCCTGTTCATGGGCATTTGGGTTGTTTTAGGTTTTGGTATTTAAAAACATGCTTACAGAAAACACTTTTATATGCATGCCCCAATATTTGTTCAAAAGTTTGAGTATATACCTAGGAGCAAAATGGCAGGTTAAAGGGCATGCAAGTGTTCATCTTTAAAGAATAATGTCAAACTATTCCAAAGGGGCTGTACCAATTTATATAGGAATGATTAAGAGATTCTGCTGACCTACCTCCTTTATATATGGTCCAACTTTAACTTTAAAAAAAAAAAACTGTGATAGTATATATAACCTCTAGTTTACACTTTAAACATTTTTAAGTGTACAGTACAGTGGCATTAAGCACAACACATTGTTGTGCAACCATTACCACTATTCATTTCCAGAACTTGTTTTTCTTCCTAAACTGAAATTCTGTACCCATTAAACAAAAGATAACTCTTCATTTTCCCCTCCCCCCATCCCTTAGCAACCGCCATTCTACTTTCTGTCTCTATGGATATGACTACCCTGGATACCTGATATAAGTGAAATCACACAGTATTTGTCCTTTTGTGACTGGCCTGTTTCACTTTGCATACTGTCTTCAGGGTTCAGCCATGTTATAACATGTGCCAGAATTTCCTTCTTTTTTAAGGCTGAATAATATTCTGTTGTATGTATATACCATATTTTGTTTATCCATTCATTTATCAAAGGGCATTTGGATCACTTCCACCTTTTGGCCACTGTGCATAATGCTGCTATGAATATGGGTATACACATATCTCTGGGAGGCCCTGCCTTCAATTCTTTTGAGTATATACCTAGTAGTGGAATTGCTGGATCATATGGTAATTCTATGTTTGCTTTTTTGAGGAACAATGATACTGTTTTCCATAGTGGCTGCACCATTTTATATTCACCTCAGTAATGCACAAGGGATTCAGTTTTTCAATCTCCTTACCAACACTTGTTTTCTATTTTTTTTTTTAATAATTGCTATATTAACAGGTGTGAAGTTGTACCCCTTGTGGTTTTGATTTGCATTTCCATAATGATTAGTTTGTTGGCCATCTTTGCAGTGCTTACTGGCCATTTGTATATCTTCTTTGGAGAAATGTTATTCAAATCTGTTGTCCATGTTTTTGTTGTTGTTGTTGTTGTTGAGACAGAGTCTCACTTTGTTGCCCAGGCTAGAGTGAGTGCCGTGGCATCAACCTAGCTCACAGCAACCTCAAATTCCTGGGCTCAAGCAATCCTGCTGCCTCAGCCTCCCAAGTAGCTGGGACTACAGGCATGCGCCACCAATGCCCGCTAATTTTTTCTATATATATATTAGTTGACCAATTAATTCTTTCTATTTATAGTAGAGATGGGGTCTTACTCTTGCTCAGGCTGGTTTCGAACTCCCTGACCTTGAGCAATCCGCCTGCCTCGGCCTCCCAGAGTGCTAGGATTACAGCGTGCCACCACACCCAGCCCCGTTTCCCATTTTTGAATCAGGGATTTTGTTGTTGTTAAGTTGTGAGAGTGTTTGTTTTTTGTTTTAGAGATGGTCTCACTCTGTTGTCCAGGGTGGAGTGCACTGTCATCATCATAGTTTACTGCAACCTCAAACTTCTGGGCTCAAGTGATCTTCCCAAGTAGCTGGGGCTACAGGTGTGTGCTGCCACACCCAGTTAGTTTTCTTTCTAAAATTTTTTGTAGAGACAGAGGTCCCACTATGTTACCTAGGCTGTTCTCAAACTCCTGGTCTCAGACAATCCTCTTGTCTCAGCCTCCCAAAGTGCTGGGATTACAGGTGTGAGTCACCCAGGCTGGCTGAGTTTTTTTTTTTATAAGTATACATATATATATTTTTTGAGACAGAGTCTCACTATGTTGCCTGGGCTAGAGTACAGTGGCATCAGCCTAGCTTACAGAACCTCAAACTCCTGATCTTAAGTAATCCTTCTGCCTCAGCCTCCCAAGTAGCTGGGACTACAGGCATGTGCCACCATGCCTGGCTAATTTTTTCTATATATATTTTTAGTTGTCCAATTAATTTATTTCTATCTATAGTAGAGACGGGGTCTCACTCTTGCTCAGGCTGGTTTCAAACTCCTGACCTTGAGCGATCCACCTACCTTGGCCTGGCAGAGTGCTAGGATTACACGCGGGAGCCACTGCGACTGGCCTAGACCAGGTACATTTCTAAACACTTTACTCACAGATTCTTAAAAAAAAACACAAAAAACTTTTAAACTTAGGTACTATTATTATTAAGCATTTTACATTCAAAGAACCAAGGCACAATGTGAAGTAATTTGCTTAAAACTACACATAGTTGAGTGGTGAAGCCAGGATTTGAAGACAGGTAGTCAGACTACAGAACTTTGCTCTCTACCCTATATAAACCTCACAGTAATATTGAATAGTAGGTATTTTTACCTTTACAGATTAAAAAAAATGAGGCTCAGAGAAATTAAATAACTTGCTAAAGTAATATAGTTTACCTGTGATGGAACTAGGATTGAAACCTAAACCTCATATTGTTTCATACCTCAGATATAAGCAGAGATTTGTAATTCCTTCATAACATTTTTTTTTTTTTTGAGATAGAGTCTCACTCTGTTGCCAGGGTTAGAGTGCTGTGGTGTCAGCCTAGCTCACAGCAACTTCAAACTGCTGGGCTCAAGCGATCCTTCTGCCTCAGCCTCCCGAGTAGCCGGGACTACTAGGCACATGCCACCATGTCCGGCTAGTTTTTTCTATATATTTTTAGTTGTCCAGTTAATTTCTTTCTATTTTTAGTGGAGATGTGGTCTCGCTCTTTCTCAGGCTGGTCTCGGACTCTTGAGCTCAAACAATCCACCCATCTGGGCCTCCCAGAGTGCTAGGATTATAGGTGTGAGCCACCATGCCTGGCCAAATGCCCTTATTGAAGCCTTCCAACTCTCCAGGAAGAACCAATCTTGTTCTCACCCGGGCTCCCACAACATTTAAGAATACCTCTATCATACTTTACTATAATGCATAATCTCCCTGGGGAAACTTGGAAGTCAGGAATATTGTCTTAATCATTCTTTTCACCCTACAGTGAACACTACTGTTTGTGACACACAGTAGAAGCTCAATGATGTCTGTTAAAAGGAGGCAGGGCCTCTGCTGCTAAATCTAGAAGAGGGGACAAGAAATGCACATATAACCAAAAAATGTCAAAAGTAGTGCTATAGGAGAACTATTAATACAAATTAAATGCAGTGGAGTTTAAAACAGCTGGGCACAGTGGCTCATACCTGTAATTACAGCCCAGGCTGAGATGTGAGGATCACTTGAGCCCAGAAGTTTGAGACCAGCCCAGGCAACATAGCCAAACCCTGCCTCAACAAAAAAATTTATCAGTTAGGCATGATGGCGCATGCCTGTAGTTCTAACTACTGAGGAGGCTGAGGCAGAAGGATCATTTGAGCCCAGGAGTTCAAACCTGCAGTGAGCTATGATCATGCCACTATACTCCAGCCCAGGTGACAAAGCAAGACCCCATCTCTTTAAAAAAATAAAATAAAAGATCTGGCCACGTTTAACTTCTAAAAAAAAAAAAAGAAACAGAAAGAAAAAGTCAAGGGGAGACAGCTCAGCTAGCTTTCATACACATACACACACACACACACACACACACACAAAAGCAGTCTGAATACCTCCACACAGCCTGAAGCTATCAAGCTACTGTTAGTTTCTTTGACCTCTTTTTAAACTTTTAAATTTTAATGAATTACCAGCATTTGTAGGTTGAATTTTCACATACAAATCAGGCTTTCTGGATATTACTGAAAAATGGAACAATCTCAAAAACAAGGTACACATTCTCCCAGAGAAATTGGTTGGATTTGAATATCAAATACTCCTTTCAGGTGAAGTTAACGGTGCCCTTATCCATCACAGTACCTCCCACCATATTCTTAAGCTCAGCTTGTATAATTTATATTTTCTCATCACTGTAGGCATCTGGTTTAATGACCTCTTCTCCAGACACACAACTCATTTCTCTATTACACACTATGTAACTTCAAGCATCCGTGTCTTTGCCTTTCACTTTGCCTAGAAAGTCATTTGCTTTCTCCAAAAGCACTCTTACTCCTCTAAGCCACTGCTTCAATTCCTTTCACTAGCTCTTTCTGACCACGCCTTCACCCGTGTCACCGCGGCATTCTGGTCATATCTCTATTTAAATCCTAATTACACAGTTTGTACCAGGTTCTCTCCTTCGTTCTGGCGTTAGGTCCTTGAAGTCAGCGGCCCAAGACTAATTTATTTTCGTGTCCCCAGCTTCACGTCCATGGCCTGGCACCTAAACCCAGGCGTTCGGTTCGTGTTTGCGGAAGTCAAGTCTTCTTACTTTACGGCACATCTAAAGTATCTAACATTACGGCCATAGAAGTGGGGCTGGGGTAGAAACCCCCACACAAGCCCAACAAGCGGATCCCGGCCAAGAAAAAGGAGCACGCCAGCAAACCCGCAAGCAAATGCCGCCGGGTAAAGTTCACTGCCACCGCCGCTGCAATTCCCTCTTGCGAAATTTGGCCTGAGAACCAGCGGAACAGCCCCAGAAACTATTCGTCCGGCCACTCAGCTCTCCGGCGTAAGCCTTTCCGGTGCTGTGCCCCGGAAGCGGAAGTGCGATCTGTAGTCCGTCGGAGTCGGTGTATTACTCCGTGGTCGCGGAATCTGGGGAAGTCGTTTTCGCTTCACTTTTACCGGCGCTTCCTCCCCAGCGGGTGGGAGTGCGGGGACGAAGGGGCGCGATGAGCACCATGTTCGCGGACACTCTACTCATCGTTTTCATCTCTGTGTGCACGGCTCTGCTTGCCGAGGGTGAGAGCGGCTATTTCTCAGACGTTTGATCAATCCCCGAGAAGTAGGGTCGCCGGGCCCCTAGCGCCCCCGGGGGAAAGATCTCGAGCCTCATTTGCTTGGGGGGTCTTGTTTACTATACTTCAGGAAATCGCTGGGCAACTCGTGAACAGAAGCGGGAGGGTTTGTGTGGACTCTATTGCCGAATTTTCTGTGGTCTAAGGTAGTTTTCATTTGGGTGTGTGTGGCGATACCTTCACGTCCTGTTACAGTTATTTTGGCTGAAGAGTCAGCTGTATTGACATTTGAAAAAAGTTGACTCCAGGTAAATACAAAGCAAAAAGTTGGATTCCTCCTTCTACAGTAACCACTAATAACAGTTTGTTGTTACCGTTCCAAACTTTTCTCTATTAGCATGTTGCTTTTCACGTTCTAGGTATAACCTGGGTCCTGGTTTACAGGACAGACAAATACAAGAGACTGAAGGCGGAAGTGGAAAAACAGAGTAAAAAATGTAAGTATGGCAACACAGTAGAAATAGTTGCGACACCTCAAGCTTATTGAGTGCAAGTTCACAGTAGATATTTCAGGAGCGCCGCCTGATACAGAAACTTAATAGGAATACAAAGATGAATCCTACTGGAAGTCTATTTAGAAATAGAAGACTTTTATGCAAAATGTATAATACCAACTAGAGAGGAGTGAGGGACATGCAGGTACATGTTATGTGCTGTGGTGGTTCTAAAGAAGAGGTCCTATTCAGTTGTGAGGGACCATGGAAGCTTTCAGGGTGCAGATGACCTTGTAGTCCCTTATGGGTAGTTAGCATTTGGGTAGAGAATGAGTCAGGGGAAGGAAATTCCAGGTAAAGGAAATAGCATATGAGCAAAAACATGTAAATTTTAACATGTAAGGTGGTTTGGAGAATGACAGATCCTTATGACTGGTGCCAAAGTAAGTGGTGTCTTCAGGGATAAGCCAAGTTTCAGTTGGGTGAGGAAGTTGAAGAAGTGTTTGAGGAAAAGATTAAAAACAAGTAGAGTTTGTTGTCTTTGAAATAAAGCACTATTTCTACAGGACACAGCTAAGAGTGCAATGTGAATGGTTCCTTATAGGGCTGATTTAGCTTTCAATGTTGTTTTCTTGCTTATAAGCATTATATATAACTTTTGCTTCTTAGAATTCCTATAACTTTTCATATTCTATGACTTTTTATTATGTCTTCATAAGAGTTTGAATTTTTTTTTTTTTCTTAAATTATCTCACTCCACATAGCAACCATTTGTGGTCAGTTGTATAAATATTGCCTCCACATTATAGGAAAGGGGATTGAGACTTAGAAAGGTAAAGGCCATTTACATCACAGAACGGAAAATTAGAGACAAAACTCGGGCTTTTTTTTTTTTATTTTTTTTTTTTTGAGACAGAGTCTCACTTTGTTGTCCAGGCTAGAGTGAGTGCCGTGGCGTCAGCCTAGCTCACAGCAACCTCAAACTCCTGGGCTCGAGCGATCCTTCTGCCACAGCCTACCGAGTAGCTGGGACTACAGGCATGAGCCACCATGCCCGGCTAATTTTTTATATATATATATATCAGTTGGCCAATTAATTTCTTTCTATTTATATAGTAGAGACGGGGGTCTCGCTCTTGCTCAGGCTGGTTTTGAACTCCTGACCTTGAGCAATCCGCCCGCCTCGGCCTCCCAAGAGCTAGGATTACAGGCGTGAGCCACCGCGCCTGGCCTAAAACTCGGGCTTTTTAAATTACAATTTACTATTCCTTTACTTACTCAGTGTTGGTAATGTATCTCAACATATTTAAAACCAAACTCATTATTTACATTCCAAACATAATTCTTCTTCTAGAATTTCCCTATTTTGGTGACTGGTATCTCTATGCTTCCAGTAGTACAAGCCAGAAACCTTACACTTTATGTATGTGGCTTCCAGGACACCATACTTTCTTGGTTTTGTTACCTTAACAGTAAGGTTTTCTTACCTTACTGGTCATCTGTTTGCAGTTTCATTTCTTGACCTACTATTGTTGGGAGGTGACACAGAGTTTAGTTTTTTGTTTACATTCACCTCTTTGGTGAACTCATTTTTGTGCTGTATTTTCCAGTGATCTTCAAATGTATGTCTCCAGGACTCTTTCCTTAGTGCAAGATTCATATATCCAACTATCAATTTGTCATCTCTGCCTGAGTGATTAACAGACATCTCAATCCCAACATATTCAAAATTAAACACTTATTTCTCACTCCTAAGCCTGCTTTACCTGTAGCCTTTATCTTGGACAATGGCAAGTCTATCCTAGTTACTCAGGCCATAATCCTTATGTAGTTACTTTTGACTCTTCTCGCAACCTATATCGAGTCTGTCAGCAAATGCCGTTGGGCTGCCTTCAAATATATCCAGATTCTGACCACTTTTCACTACCGCCACTGTGGTCCAAGTACTACGATCTTTTGTATAGATTATTGCAATAGTCTCCAACAAGTGTTCCTTTCTCAAAATAATAGCCCAAATAATTTTTTTTAAAGCCCATCAGATCATGTCTCTCCTTTGTTTGTAACCCTGTGATGGTATTTCATTTCCACTTAGAGGAAAGTCCAAGTCTTTATAGTGGCCTACAGAGCTTTCCTGTCATCACTCTGGTATTCTTTCCTTCTGACTCTCACCCACAATGACCTGCTTGCTATTCCTCACACACACTAGCCACACTCTTGTGCTGAGATCTGTCTAGTGGTTGTTCCTTGTGATTGGAAATGTTAATATAAAATATATCTGCTTGGCTAATCCTCTTACCTTCTTCTAATCTTTGTTCAGATCTCACCTCTGAGTCTTTTTTTTTTTTTTTTTTCACTTAAGCATTATAGGAGGTAACACCTCTGAGTCTTAACTTGACCACCCTATTTAAAACAGCAACCTGTCCCGTTTCTCTACCACTACTACTCCTGATCTTCTCTATCTTTTCCCCATGGCTCTTAATCACTTTCCAATATACTATATGATTTACTTATTTATCATGTTGTTGCATATTGTTTATTTCTACCTGCTAGAATAAAGCTCCACTAGGGCAGGGTTCTTTGTTTAAGGTATTCTTGTACCTTAAATATTTATGTAATATGGATTCATCCTGTGGATTTTGTGATTCATTAGTGTCTACAACATTACATTGTCTTTATTTTTTTATTTTATTATTTATTTATTTTTTTGAGACAGAGTCTCACTTTGTTGCCCGGGCTAGAGTGAGTGCCGTGCCATCAGCCTAGCTCACAGCAACCTCAAACTCCTGGGCTCAAGCAATCCTGCTGCCTCAGCCTCTCAAGTAGCTGGGACTACAGGCATGCGCCACCATGCCCAGCTAATTTTTTCTATATATATTAGTTGGCCAATTAATTTCTTCCTATTTACAGTAGAGACGGAGTCTCGCTCTTGCTCAGCCTGGTTTCAAACTCCTGACCTTGAGCAATCCGCCCGCCTCGGCCACCCAGAGTGCTAGGATTACAGGCATAAGCCACTGCGCCCGGCCTTGCATTGTCTTTAATTATTTGTGTTATAAAAATAAATAAAAAGTCTCCTTCACTTTACACTTTACTTCAAACTGTTATATAGTTGCCAGGCTATATACTTCCGTAGTTGTGATTTTAATGTAATTCTTTCATATGCTTGCACTGAAGATAAGTATGAGGTAGGTTGATAATTAAATGGCTCAAGGCATTTCTTGTGGTCTTAAGTCCTCTGTTTTGAATAATCTGTCAAAACTCAGTAAACATGTATTATTTTCATTTATATGATCAATTGACGTATATGCTTGCTATATGTTGAGTTTATCACGTTAAGTACAATATGAAATGAATGGGCATAGATTCTGTCTTATGTAATTTATAATCAAATGCACAACTATTATATTTAGCATGAGGGATATTTGAAAGGAAGAATATAAGGTAAATTCCCTCTTTGAACAGATGCCTTAATTGCAAATATATAATCCCTTCTGACATTTCGTATTCAGAATTTGGTATGGGTCTAGGCAAAAGAAGTTTGTAGGGTTTTTGAAGAATACAAAAAAATTATAAATAGGTTTGAGTTAGAATTCCATGTAGATTTCTTTTCTTGTGCTGACCTGATTCTTAGCATTATTTGGAGAATACTGGTAATATCCAAAAAGCAGACCTACTGATGTGGGACCAGTGACAAAAGATAGGTTTTCTTAAAGGTAGAGAATTGGTTGATTCAGTTCGTCTCTGGACTTATAGGTGTGCCCTAAATGTCAATAGATCTTCCTTCATTGTGTTACTGTTGTAATATAGACTAGTAAAGTAAGTAATGGAAAGAAAGTACAGTATTTATAATTTGATTCTTGTAACAAAATTGTTTATTTAGAGCATTTATTAAGTATAAATTATTGTGAAGTATGAGATATTCCTGTTTACAGTGAAATAGGATAAAGCTTTTTTTTTTTTTTTTTTTTGAGACAGAGTCTCGCTTTGTTGCCTAGGCTAGAGTGAGTGCCATGGCGTCAGCCTAGCTCACAGCAACCTCAAACTCCTGGGCTCAAGCGATCCTTCTGTCTCAGCCTCCCATGTAGCTGGGACTACAGGCATGAGCCACCATGCCCGGCTAATTTTTTCTATATATTTTAGTTGGCCAATTAGTTTCTTTCTATTTATAGTAGAGACGGGGTCTCGCTCTTGCTCAGGCTGGTTTCGAACTCCCGACCTCGAGCAATCCGCCCGCCTCGGCCTCCCAGAGAGCTAGGATTACAGGCGTGAGCCACCGCGCCCGGCTGGATAAAGCTTTTAGAATAATTTATTATCTGTTTGACAGAACTCTAGAATTCAGAATGCAAGAATACCAGGTCATGGACAGAAATGTGTTTCATAGCTGACATCTTTTATTTTTGTCAAGTGACATTTCCACTTCTTATTATGGTGTAAGGTTCTGGTGAATAAAGAGGAACACAAAAAGATATCTTTACGACCTCATGAAGTTTGAAAAACATTAGATTAATTTATCCCTAAAAAAGATTTGTCTAGTCTCAATCTGGTCTGCTAGAAGACTAATGTTTATAGTATCATCTTATGTTTCTATTCTCTAGCCTTCTTTGTTTTCTCTCTCTTTTTTTTTTTATTTTAGCATATTATGGGGGTACAAGTGTTAAGGTTACTTATATTGCCCATGCCCCCCTCCCCCCTGGATTAAGAGCTTCAAGCATGTCCATCCCCCAAACGTTGCACATCTTACTTGTTGTGGTTGTTTTTTTCTCTTGTTTTTATGCAGTCATGGTTAAATGCCAAGTAGTTGTATTATAGGCCTTCTGGAGTAGGAAGGAAATACTTTTGTTTCTTTGTTTAATAGTAATGATAAAGAATAAAACATTCAGTGTTTTCTGTCCATTTTTGTCTTTTAAAATGTTATTTCTATAACGTCTTGTGGAATTTGACTAAATTTCCTTTTATGATCTCACACTGGTTCATTCTAAATCTCCATGTATGTGTTTTATATTATGTATGTTATATAACATGCCTTATATATAATTTAATATGTAAGATAAAAATAGTACCTGTTAGGTTCCCAGAATGTACACATACACACACCCACCCCCCACCCCCACGCACACAGCCACCCCATACATATTTTATTTTGGTCAGCACTTTAATTGGAGTCAAATTGAATTTTTTATCTCTTTGATAAAGCAGTAATATCAATTTTACATTTATTTATTTATTTATTTATTTGAGATAAGGTCTGGCTCTCTTAATCAGGTTGGGGTGCAATGGTGCGTTCAAAGCTCACTGTATCCTTGAAAACCTGGGCTCAAGTGATCCTCCCACTTTACCAGTTTGCTTTTAGAATTTAGGAATGAGCAGTGTACTAACAGAAAGAGTTCTACCTGCTACTTCTCGTTAATGTAGCTTTTTTTTTTTTGAGACAGAGTCTCACTCTGTTGCCCTGAGTAGAGTGTTGTGGCATTAGCCTAGTTCGCAACAACCTCAAACTCCTGGGCTCAAGTGATCCTTCTGCCTCAGCCTCCTGAGTAGCTGGGACTATGGGAACATGCCACGACACCCAGCTAATTTTTCTATTTTTAGTAGGAACAAGATCTTGCTCTTGCTCAGGCTGGTCTCAAACTCCTGAGCTCAATCAAGTGATCCTCCCACCTCGACCTCCCAGAGTAATGTACCTTTTCAGAATGATCCAACCTACACAGTACTGTTCACTATTAGTATACTAAGATAACATGGGAAACAGATAATGCAAATAAACTAAGTAAAGGTAATTTTTGACATATCTAATGCTAGTCCATTCACAGGTGATTTAAGATAGTAAATATAAAGTAATATATTACACTATTCCTTTTTTAAAAGCTTACTCTATTATCATATTAATTAAAGTGCATCAAAAAATTCAATTTTAGCTTTTTTGACCCCTGATTTTCATACCTTGTGCATATGTCTGTATTGCCACCCTACTATAATTGTCACTTGATTATCCTCTACCATTCTTTAGAAGACAAGAGTGATATTTTCTCATCTACCTAGAATAGTGCCTGTTACTTAGCTAATAATTGAATGAATGAATGAATTTCTACTTTTGTAGTAAATATGAGAATGGAACTACAATTAACCATAGATATCTGAGAGAGTAGAATTTGAAAACTGCTGTGATGCTAGCTAAGATAATCATCCTTACTTGATGGTCTGAAAATCATCTCAGTGTTGATTCTGATTATGTCTTTATACAATGGATTGTATTAAGACACAATCAGAATCAAAATTATTAATATTACCAATATAATATATCAATAATATAATATTATCACTATTATAATCAATCCTATATTATTTGACTAATAATGCTTATAATTATTATATTATTCTTAGTATATTGTATCTACCTTTTACTGTCAGTAGTTGTGTGAATGGGCCAGTCACAACCACATCAAAGTCGGTGTGTAACTTTCTTGTAAGCTTCTTCCATTGGTTCTGCTGTGACAAATTATCCCTTTGTTTCTTTAGAATATTGCATAGTTAATTTTCACTGTGTTACTATGTTGTTTACAGTGGAAAAGAAGAAGGAAACAATAACAGAGTCAGCTGGTCGACAACAGAAGAAGAAAATAGGTAAGATGAGATATTAGTTTAAATAAAATTTGGATTTTCTTGGAAAAAACAAATTCTTGGATGATGAAAATATAATAAAGTTATTAATAGTGATAACTCATGTTACTCATGTTTATGTGATTTTATGATTTTTAAAGCACTTGCATATCATCTCACTTGATTCTTAACCATTTTGTGAAGTAAATTGGACAAATTCAAACAGTTCCTCTTTTTTGCTCCTAGTTTTAGAATTTGCATTTAGTAAAATGACAGTTGTGGCCTTTATCTTGGCTGAGGGCTCTTGGCATAGTTTGTACAAGTGTATTGTTCTTCATATCTGAGCTGTTTATTTACAGTTAATTCTGAGTTACTTGTGTTTATTATTTTCATGGCTTCCTTATTGAGAATTGACTAGTGATAGAAATTCACTAAGGGGTAGGATATTTTCTGCTAAGTAATTTTTACCTACTCAGAGAAATAGTGGGTTTTGGTATTTATGTGTAATTTAGAATTTAAATAATTCCATTCCCAAAATTCAATTCATAAATTAATATGTATGATTTGTGTCTATACTTTATGTTGTTTCCTGATTCTGAAATCAGGAGAAAATTGTTGCCAAATTGTGTATTTGGTTCAGAAACTATGTCTCTATATCTAGATCACTGCTCTTAGAGAGCTCTGGGGAAGAATTCTACCAGGTGGACTATGCCAATGTCTTATTCTGATTAAAGTTTTTCAATGTAGTGTAGGGCTACCAGACATTTTTTAAATGGCCTACTCATTTAATTCCATGGCAAGATACTGTGTATATCCACTTTATGTCAGTGGCTCTATTAGGCATTGCAGAAACAAAGTAGAAAAAGATTTTATGTTTATAAACTCTGTTAAGGAAATCAGACAAGAAAATAGATGATTACTGTGCAGTATGATAAGTACTTTTTATAGAGATATATTTTAAGTGTTATAACAATTAAAAAGAAGGCATGTCCAAATCAACCTAGGGGATCAGGTTTTCTTGAAGATATAGTGCTTTAGCTGAATCTTAAAGCTTTAATATGAGTTAGCTAAATAAATATACTATTTGTATGTTTTGAGCACTTCTGCAACACACTTTGGTAACTTTACACATTTTTAAATTCTCATAATGTATGTGGTAGGGAACAGTGTTATCTCATTTTTATAGATGAGAAAATTAAGACTTAAGTTAAAAAAACTTGCACTAGGTCTTTCAGTGATATGATGGGACTAAGTCAGTGTTTGAGAAGGGATTTGAACCTGGACATTTATACCTTTAGAATCCTGTACATTTTAAAACCATGTACATTCTAGGCAGAAGATAGGCATATGCAAAAGCATGGAGGGCTAAAATAGCAGGTACATACATGGAGCTACAAATTGTTTAGTGTAAAAATAAAAGATATGTGTAAAGTACAGGCAGATGAGGCTAGAGAAATAAGTAGGGCCTAGTTCATAAAGGGCTTTATAAATTAAACTAAGGTAAGGAATTTAGTTTGTATCTAGAAGACTTTAGATAATCATTAAAGGAATTAAACAAAGGATTGGCATCAGATTTTGTTTAAGGAAGACAACTCCGATAATAGTTTGGAGAGGATAAGTTGGAGAGGAGATCATTTTGGAAGTGTGGAAGTTGAGGCTTTTTAAGTATCCCAGGCATAAAAATGGTAAGAACCTAAACTTAGGCAGCGGCAGTGAGAATGGAGTTGATGGTACAAGTTTAGCAAATCTAGAGAAGGTAGAGGCAACAGGACTCTGACTTTTTTGTTGTTGTTGTTTGTTTGTTTGGTTTTTAAGAGATGAGGTCTTGCTCTGTCACCCAGGCTGGAGTGCAGTGGCATGATCATATAGCTCAGCAGCCTTGAGCTCTTGGACTCAAGTGATCCTCCTGCCTCAGTTTCTCAAGTAGCTAGGACTACAGGTGCACACCACCATGGCTGGCTAATATTTTAAAAATTTTTGGAGAGATGGGGTCTCGCTATATTGCCCATGCTAGTTTTGAGCTCTTGGCCTCAAGTGATCCTCCTGCCTTGGCCTTCCAGAGTGCTGGGATTACAGGTATGAGCCACTGCTCTCAGCCCAGTGACTGTTTAGATTTAGAGCATGGAGAGAGGTATGAGTCTAGGAAGATGCCCACATTTCTGATTTGGATAGGAAATATTGGAGGAATAGCAGATTGGGATGGAGAAGAGAAAAAGGTGATGTAAGGTTTGAACATGTTGGATTTTAAGTGACTGTGTGACGGTGGGCATGTTTGGTACAGTTGGATATACAGTTTGGGAACTGTCAGAGAGTTAGGGTTACAAATAGATTTTAGAACCATATGCTTGTAAGTAGTAATTGAGTCCAAAAGGTGAATGAGATCATACAGGGATAGAATGTAGGACAAGAAGAGCAGAAGGTGGAGAGTATCTTGAGGAAACAGAAATTTAAGGGGAAGCAGAAGTAGAGCTCTGAAAAAGTTTTATCAGAGAAGTTAGAAAGGAGTAGTGTCACAGAAGTTGAGGAGAGAATTTCAGGGAGAAAGAAGGGTATGAGGAAACATGTTAAATGTCTAAGAAATGGAAGTTATTCGTGATTTTATTAATGATTTCATTGGCATGCTGGGGGACAAAATCCAGATTGTATAGATTAAGGAAATAATAGATAGTGAGGAAATGAAGGCATTGAACATGGACAACTCTTTCAAGTACCTTTGCTATAAAAAATAGGAAAGATACGAAAATGGAAGGCAGATTACCATCTACCCTTAAATTGACAACACAAAGTATCTGAACTTAAATGATGTCAACATGGAATGCAGCCTTGAATTGTTTGCTCACCAAAAGAAATCTCTCATCAGAAGTTATAAGAATTTATATACGTGAAGAGCGGCTTAAAAGATGGCCTATCCATTCTCTACCCTTGTAAATTATACTCTTAGATTAAACCAGACTAGCTGGGCATGGTGGCTCACACCTGTAATCTAGCACTCTGGGAGGCTGGGGCGGGAGGCTCGCTCAAGGTCAGGAATTCGAAACCAGCCTGAGTAAGAGCGAGACCCTGTCTCTACTAAAAATAGAAAGAAAATAATTGGCCAACTAAAAAATATATAGAAAAAATTAGCTGGGCATAGTGGCTCATGCCTGTAGTCCCAGCTACTCAGGAGGCTGAGAGACAGAAGGATTGCTTGAGCCCAGGAGTTTGAGGTTGCTGTGAGCTAGGCTGACACCATGGCACTCTAGCCTGGGCAACAGAGTGAGACTGTCTCAAAACAAAGAGTATATCTTAATGTACAGACTTAAGACTTTTAATATGAGAGGTAATTAAAAAATTAAACTCTAAAGATTTTTATTTATTTAAATTGGAATATTTTGGTGCTGTGCTACATTTGAATTTTCTGTTAGTACAAAATATACCATAGTCCATATGTAATGATTACTTCATCTTATTAAATGATATTGAGACAAAGTGCTTTTTAAATTACCAGTGACAGTTTATTTAGCAACTGCTTTGTGCTCAGTACTATACGTATTAATCATTTCATTAATTCTTTTCAGAGAGGCAAGAAGAGAAACTGAAGAATAACAACAGAGATCTATCAATGGTAACAATCTTAAATATAACTTCTTGCTAAACCACATAATGTTTTTAGCAAAAGATCCTGATTTGCATCAAGTGCATTGCATTTACCTTTTCAGACATTTATCACCTATGAAGGCTACAAATAATATCATGGGTATTTCTGGACCAAATGGAAGTGAAAATATACTACTGTTCTTAAATTTCATTTTAATAATATAAATAACTTTTAAAGGCTGTCTTGGAGGTCATAATTTATCCTCTTAAATAGGTTCCCTCTTATGTTTTCAAATGAGGTGGTTTATTTTCTTTTTCTTCCTTATGTTAGTGCTGCATCTTCAGTTTTATGGTGACTTGTATAATCCTAGTATAGGAGTTGGAAATATGTTGTTCCTTTTATTTGTTCTTTTAGGAGGCCTTTTGTTCTGCATGTCAGGCATACCATAAAGTGTAAGGAAAGTGATTTCATTAACTTAATTCTCCATTTATTATATAGATGATTTGTTCAAGCATAGTTTACTTTAGCAGTACGGCTAATATAATGGTTACATACGTTTTTCTCTCGTTTATTACGAACTGTGCAAGTTCCTTCACTTAACTGGAGACGATTTTTGTATTTATAAACAAGGAATACTGGCTACAAATATTTCCTATGAGTGAGGTGGGGTGGGGTGGGTTGGCACAATGCTTATTTGCTAAGGAGATGCTTTTTTATGTATACATATTATTGGGCTGATTTAGAGGATTGGGATTTTTTTACTTTTTTAATATTTTTTTATTATTTATTTTGGGGTCTCGCATAGTTCCCGGCTGTGGTGACCGTGGCGTCCAGCCTAGCTCACAGCAACCCTCAAACGTCCTGGTCAGCACTCCTTGCTGCCTCAGCCTCCCCGAGTAGCTGGGATCACAGGCATGCGCCACCATGCCCGGCTAACTTTTATATATATAGTTGGCCAATTATTTCTTTCTATTATACAGTAGAGACGGGTCTCGCTCTTGCTCAGGCTGGTTTCGAACTCCTGACCTCAAGCAATCCGCCCGCCTCAGCCTCCCAAGTGTATAGGATTACAGGCGTGAGCCACCGCGCCCGGCTCGGAGGGGGTTTTCTTTAGTGTCAAATGGTAATTTGTTGTTCTCATTACAGGTTCGAATGAAATCCATGTTTGCGATTGGCTTTTGTTTTACTGCCCTAATGGGAATGTTCAATTCCATGTGAGTATTTTTATATGGTTTTGCCTAATAACTATTACCCTGTATTTGTATGTATGTTAGCATGAACTTTTTGATATTATTTTGTTTTCGAACTCTTGACCTTGAGCGATCCTCCGCCTCAGCCTCCCAGAGTGCTAGGATTACAGGCGTGAGCCACTGCACCGAGCCCACACAGTGGTTTGTGTCCTTATCTGAGAAAACATACACTAAAGCTAGACAAGAGCTGCAGGGGAAGTGAAACTGATCAGAGAATTGGAAGGATTGAGAATAGAATAAAAGCATTCTGATGTTTTAGCTAGAGATATTAAAACAAAATCCAGTTGTTGGGTCTGCTTATTACTACTGTATATAAGTAGGTTATACATTTTGTGATTTTATTTTCTTTCTTTTTCTTTTTTTTTTTTTTTTTGATGGTTTACCTTCTTTATTCCACTACATACAATTATTTTGTAGGTTCAGGGAATCAGAACGTGTCTGTTGCAAAGGCGTATGATCTAGTCTCTTAAGGCAGGTCTCTGTTCCTAAATGTAGGAATGTGGTTTGGGTTCCTGTTAGGGAGCGAGAAACTTCCGAGCCCTGGCAAGGAGGGGACGGGAGTACTGACCCACACTGGGACAGAGGGGACAGGACCACTGTCTGGAGTCATGTGCTATGGTCTGACATGGATGTCTCTAACATCATGTCACTTTCATTCATTTCGATTTCAAAGGTTTCTTCCAAGGAAGGTCTGGAATCTGGAGTTTTGCTTGAGGTTTCCAATGGCGTAAGCCCCGTTTCTTCTGCAGTCTGTTTTTCTACTTCAAATTCCCTGAAATCCCAGGGAGGTGAAATAATGTTTTTTAGTGTCTTCATTGTATGCACATCAAAGTCATAACATTTTAATTTGTCTTTAATGTCTGCTCCAATATAAGCTTCAGAATCACCAGTGTACATTTCAATGCAATGACCAAGCATTGTAACAGAAAATGTATCATCTCGCCTAAGACCAAGGGCCGTGTGGAAATAGTCCACGGCATTTTCAAAGTTGCCCATCAGACTGTGAATGTAGCCTATGGCAGAGTAGGTGGATGCGTTCTGAGGAATTAACACCAACACCTGACGGTGGTAATCCAAGGCCTCATCGTACTTTTTAAGTTTTCTGCAGACATGCCCCAAGTTGTTCAACAAGGGTTCCCATTTGTCAACTGTCACCTCATTCCCAATGGCTTTAATTTATTCCAAAGCATCAAGAAACCATTTTTCTGCTGTTTTCCATTCTCCGTTCTGAAAGGCAACCACTCCAACCTCGTGCATCACAAAAGGGTCTTCGGGTGCAATGCTCAGAGCTTGGCCGAAGAATCTTTCAGCAAGTTTTGAGTTATTGGTCAAACCTTATTCTAATCTGATATATAGCATTGGCAAATGACACCCCTTCATTAGCTGCGCTGCCCTGAAGTAGGCGGCCATGGCTCGGTTGTGCTTGCTCTCCACCACAAACGAGTGCCCATAGGCTATCCATGCAGGCCCATAGGTCTTCTCCAGTGTCATAGCTTTGCTGAGGTGTCTTCTAGCATGTTCATTCTTATGACCAACCATGAGATAGTAACATCCCACTGCAAACCAAGAGACAGGATTACTAGGATATAAATCTACCAGTTTGTGAGAAAGATAGAAAAGTTCATTTGCTTTATTCAGCTCCACAAGCGTCCCTATGTGCACAGGTAAACAGTTTGCATGGAAAGGATCTTTTTCCGCTACTACAGAAGTAAGCTTGTAGCACATTTTGAAATCACAGTTATAATAATGTCTCTCAGCTAAAGACACTACCACATCCAGATTCTCTTGCAAGCCATCTACTGACTCAGGGATGACAGTTTCACTAGGCTTATTATACTTTTTAAATTTGTTCTCAAATAGAAAACGTAGCAATTCCTGTTCTTCAGTACAGAGCTTGCTAAGAGGCAGCGATTCAAGAAGTTCTTTTTTTGTAACCTTGGACAAGTGACTGAACCTCTCTCGGCCTTAGTTTCCTTTCCTCATTGAGGACTCTGACACTTCCCAGTCATTGGGGGAGTCTTTCAAGCCACTTTCATCCTTTAAGTTTTTTTCAAATAGTCTTTTGTTGATGGGCTCCTCCATGTCGAGAATATCAAGGGCCTGCTGGTGCTCTTTCGCAGCATAATGGCATCTAGCTGCAAGGTAATGATACGCTTCATGTAATTTGTCCAGCTTCCGTGACCGCAGTGCATGGGCTGCTCTATGGTACTGAGCTGTCAGGTACAGGCACTGAGCCAACCAATACACATCCTGGGGCTCCTCATGAGACAGTGAAGCTACTTTATCTGCCCAAAATAGAGCACTTTGATACTGTTGCTGGTCGAGGTACTGCCGGACTTGCTTCCTCAGCTGCTCCAGGTTCATGGCCGCGTGGGCCCGGGGCGAGGGCCTGCCTCAAGTCTCCAGCCGCCGCACTTGGCGCCCGCTGTCCCCAGGTCCCCGAGCCTCTCGCCCCATGATCCCGTTTCAGCCCAGACCAGCCGGAGGCCTCGCGCCACCCTATTTTATTTTTCTAACTGGACATCTTGCTGATCTCTAATAGGTTCTAGTAGGTTTAATTTGATTCTCTGGTTTTCTTGATAATCATATGATCAGACAAATAATATTGTCTCATCTTTTCCAAATTTCCTTCTCTCTCCTTCCCTTTTCTCTCTCCCACTTTCCTCTAGTTCTAGGGTGCATTGAGTGAGAGCAACCAAAAGAGGGTTACATACTTAAGATGAAATATTGAAGATATTCCAGTAAAGATGGAAACAAAATGAAGAGAATGCCTGTGTCACTACTATGATATTTATGAAATTTTTAAAAGATTGAGGTTTTGAGGCTAGGCACAGTGGCTCATACCTGTAATCCCAGCACTTTGGAAAGCCGAGGCAGGAGGATTGCTTGAGGCCAGGAGTACAAGACCAGCCTCAGTAATGCACCTGTGGTCCCAGCTTGGGAGGCTGAGGTTGGGAGGAGGATTGCTTGAGCTCAGGAGCTGGAGGCTGCAGTGAGCTATAATCACACTACTGCGTTCCAGCATGGGCAGCAGAGCAAGACCTGTCTCAGATAGACAGACTGAATTTTTCAAAGCTGTATGCTTCTTTCATATTTATTTTGGCAACAAAAAGGTATATGCAAAAACATGTGAGGAGCAAAATCACTTTTCTTATCAAGAGCCCTCAAATTCATATTCTTCTGCATTTTTATAGCATTGTTACCTATATAAACCATCAAGCACTGAGTGGTAGTCTGTCATGTGTTCTCCAGTGTCATATATTTTCATTTTCTTTTATTTTTGGACTCTTAAAGCTCCTGAGTCAGGGGCCATTTCTTAAAAGCATATATGATTCTTAACAGACTTAATCATATAATAAATAATCAGCAAATATTTGGTGATTAAATTATTAGATCTTAGACCAGGGATTGAAATGCCTGATTATTTATGTAGTTTATGAGTATAAGATAAAGTATTGGATTTTTTTTTTTTTTTTTTGTGGTATAGGTCTTCGAAGGTATAGAAGTCAAAGATAGTATCTTCAGGAGAATAATAATATGACAGCTTCATTGTAATCAGGCTTCTTATAAAAGGCTACTATTGACAGGAAGGAAGGCTATTTTTTGTTCTTAAGTATATTATTTTCTTTTTGTCAACTTTCTCATTCAGAACACTGGCAAACAGTAGCTTTTTATTTGCTTATTTTGTTTTTCAGTACTGGTGGAGGTTTATATAATGTAAGTACTTTGCTAATATTAGTGCTATATTCATGTTTTTGTTCTGGTCTTTTTACCCTGTACATTTAAAAATATATATTATTGTGTCTTAGATTGTCAGCACCTGAAGTTAAAGCCTATGTCTCTATTTTTATAAATAAGTATATGAAATTAAAAGTCTAATACATATTTTGATTATACTGAAAACAAATTATTCAAGCTTTAAAACAATTTCTCTGAGTTTAACTTTGACCATCTATTTGGAATATACAATCTCTTAATATCCCTTATAGTCTTAAAATTTGTTGACAGTGGTACATGCTTTAAGAAAAAAGCCTAAGGTTAGACTAAGAAGGGAAGGACTTGAGCTCCCAGGTTGCCAGAGAAGCAATAGAAAGAACTAGATATAGCTACTTACTTTTCTTTGGCTTCTCTTCCTGAATCATTTCTATAAAGCTGAAATAATAGGATTTTGGAATTGGAAAAGATCTTAAAAGTCATTTAACAGTACAGAAATCCCACCAGTAATGTCTCTTGTAGATAATTTTTCATCCTTTTAAAAATTATTTTTGACAATGAGGAGCTTGATTTTTTCCCTGAGATATCATACTTTTATTGAATAGTTTTTAGGGTTTGAAAATAATTCCTTTTACTGACCAAAATGTGTCTCCCTGTGTCTGTACTCATGAGTAGCGGTCCTGTGTTCTAGAGTTGCAGAGTAAGCATACTTTCAGAAATAATCTATCTCTTGTAACTCATATCTCTCTTAGCACCTTCCACTTCTCTCCCCAACTTTTTTATTAGGCTAGACGCCAGTTCATTTAGCTATTCCTTCTAGTCCCCTGAAAAAAATTAGTTCATTAAGAGTTCATTGAAGTTTCTTTCATGTTTTTGCTGGTTTACAGTCTCATGCATAGTAGATGTTCAGCTTCACACACTTTGAATAATTTATAGGACATAGTTTTCAAGTTGAAAATAACAATAAAATGACTACATGAGATGAATTTGTTGGATGTATATGTTAGCAATAAGAAGGATAAACATCATATCTCTTCTATTTCTTCATTTCACAGTTTAATTCTACAGAAGGATAATCAGAGTGGCACACCTAGAACAGCATACTGTATGCAGCATACAGTCAAAAAATAATGGGGTAATTGTATTTAGTACTTCTTGTGAGTGAATGGGAATATGTCCTCTTGGAAAAATTATTACTTTTGTTTTGCTTTTGTGAGGTTAGAAGAAAAGAATGAGAATAATTACTTCAAACAGACCTTTAAATATTTTTGTCAAATATAAGTAAAGTCATCTCATGATTGAGCCCTTATTCTAATATATACTAGGAAGGCAGCGGGAAGTATAGTAGTAAGTAGATAATCATACATATAGAAGATGTCAAATTTATTCTGTATTCTTTGGAGTATAGTTGTACAAGCCTTTTAGAACTGCACAATAGGCTGGGCATGGTGGCTCACGCCTGTAATCCTAGCACTCTGGGAGGCCCAGGCAGGCGGATTGCTCGAGGTCAGGAGTTCAAAATCAGCCTGAGCAAGAGCGAGACCCCGTCTCTACTATAAAGAGAAATAAATTAATTGGCCAACTAATATATTTGGAAAAAATTAGCTGGGCATGGTGGCACATGCCTGTAGTCCCAGCTACTCGGGAGTCTGAGGCAGGAGGATCGCGTGAGCCCAGGAGGTTGAGGTTGCTGTGAGCTAGGCTGACGCCACAGCACTCACTCTAGCCTGGGAAACAAAGCAAGACTCTGTCTCAAAAAAAAAAAAAAAAGAACTGCACAATAGTTGATCTGGATATTTAGGGGTTTTTTCTCCAAAGAAAAAATCTCTACCTCTCTCTTCCCCAGCAGAAACAGTCTAAATACCAAGTGTTTTTCTAAAAGAGGATTTTCTAGCCATTTTAACTGGAATTAAAGACTATTATGATTGTTTGGCTAATACTGTCATTTTTCTGTTAATGTTATTTATAGTTTAAATAAGTATTCCTATCCTTAATCACATTAATTTTTATAAGTTTCATTATTGTCTCATTGTACAGCTTATTCATAGAAAAATATAAAAGAAGCTCATATCCCTAGCACCTTAACATAAATATAAATACTGATGTATTTGCTTCTAGCTATTTTCCTATGCTTTCCTCTTTTAGAGACATTTCTCTTTTCTATTTTAGAAAAAGTAAAAGGAATATTTTCCAAACCCTAAAAGCTAATAAGCAAAAGTAAGGTATCTCAGAATATTGTGTATCCAGTTTAGTAATTTGCTTTTGTCATTCCCCACTATATATTCTATAAACACCTATTCAGAAATGCTTATCTTGTTTAGTGTGTGTATCAGGGATCTTTGGGTCTTGGAAAAGATCTTATTGGTGTTATGATTTAGAATAGTGGCTCTCAAACTGTGGTCTGAGGATCTCTGGAAGTTTCTGAGACCCTTTCAGGAAGTCCTTGAAATCAAAATTATTTTTACAATAATTCTGAAATGTTATTTGCCTTTTTTACTCTCATTTTCTCATAAGTATTCAGTGGCGTTTTCCAGAGGCTTCATGATCCATGATATTGCAACAGCCTGAAGACAATTTTAATTTCTAATATAGATATCAATATCAGTAGCTATAACTTACATAAACAAAAACTTTCTAGGGGTCTCATAATTTGTTAGTATGCAAAGGGATTCTGATTCCAAAAGAATTGAGACCCACTAGTTTAGAAAAGATTGATGGGAATAATTTGAGCCCTTCCTTACATCACTACACTTCAAGTTCATGTCTCTATTTAGCATGTCACCCTTTCTTTGTTTTTCAGAGATCAAGAGACTTAAAGTTCTATTTCTGTCCCAGATTCTTCTTTGGAAGTAAGAAGCTTGTCAGTCTTCCAAAAATAACAATTCTTTCTTTGTTTCTTTTTAGATTTGATGGTAGAGTGGTGGCAAAGCTTCCTTTCACCCCTCTTTCTTACATCCAAGGACTGTCTCATCGAAACCTGCTCGGAGATGACACCACAGACTGTTCCTTCATCTTTCTATATATTCTCTGTACTATGTCAATTCGACAGGTGAGTGATCGTATTTGCTATTTAATATGTATAGTCTTCCTTGCTTTCATACCCCAAATTAGTTCTTACTTTTGTAATACTGGAAATATTTTACCTGTTGCTACTGAGTTCTTTCAGTTATTCCTTTTAGAATTCCAGTGTGTCATCCTAAAGCTGTTTTATATGCCTGTAGGTCTAGGTTACTGATCCTTAGGGATGAGAAGTAGTGATCAAAGCAAACATGGATTCCACATCCCATTCTTATGAGCTCTCAGATTCCTTCTTCATTACAAGTATCTAAAGCTACAAAAGTAAAGAGTGGGTTTGGTTTTCCCATTATCATTTCTTCATTATACTCCAGCACCTTTGGCAGTTCAGGGGCACAAGTAAGTGTAATAATCTGGTGATTTTAGGTTATTCATAGTTGAGATAAAGTCTGTGTTGTGGAATTTACATTTGGCCAACTTGATGATTAGACATTCATAGTGAAAAACAGAGTTAAGAGGGAATTAAAAGGGTTGTGAGGGCCTCCTAGAAAGTGAAGTGGCTTTTCAGATGGAACTTTAAAATTGAAAGGGCTAATTAAAGTCTCCTGCCCAAGAATTCTGTGCATTTTAGGACATCATTCAGTTTCTGAACATACTGCCATTCAGCAGGCATTGTAGTGGAGAGGTTTGCACATGCATCAGATATGAGCATAATTCTTTCAATATTTGTTACATAAGTGATTCTCTTAGAGTTGTCTTTATACCTCCCTTCTGAATACTGTGGCAGTAGATTTTTGGTTGACCAGCATATGAGAATCAGTAGGAATTGGAGTTATAGTTATGGCTCCAAGATCTTTGTGATTGTATTGCTTAATATTTTTTCACAACTCATCTTTTGTCACATCCCCACAAATACAGCATTTTGGCCATTCTGACTTTCTTTTTTTTTTAACCATTTCAATCTCTTGCATGTACTGACTTTCTTAACAGTTTCCATATTATGCTTACCCAGATGTACTTTTTGCTTATATTTTTCCTTCTCTCTGAATGTCTAGCTCTTTTTCCTATTTTAAATGCAATCAAGTTTTAAGGCTTCCTGGAATGATTTTCTGGTACTTATTGCATTGTAAAGGATAGATATAAGAGGAGCAGGACTAAATACAGAAGAAGAGTATCACAATAGTCTAGCAAAAATCTGTTGTTATCAACTATAAGAGTGATGAGAGGGATGAAAAGGAGAGGACAAGATTGAGAAATACATAAAAAAAAAAAAAACCCAGTAGAACTTAGTGATTGACTTAATGTAAGAGAAAAAGGAGAAACTAAGATAACTCACAGGTTTCTGGTTTTGGTAACCAATGGGAGGTAATTTCACTAAGAAGTTGGGAATAGAAGAAAGAGAAGGAAGTTGGTTAGAAGACATCCTGAATTTGAGGTGTTTATGGAGTAGCTAAGTGGCTGTGTCTACCAAGAAGTTGTACTCTTGTGTAACTTTCTCTCTAATGGAGCTGTCTTAATCTGTTTTCTGTTGCTACAACAGAATACCACAGATTGGGTAATTTATAAAGAAAATTTTTATTAGCTCATGTTTTTGGAGACTGGGAAGTCTAAGAGCATGGCACTGGCATCTGGTGAGGGCCTTCTTGCTGCATCATAACATAATAGAGGACGTCATATGGTGAGAGGACAAGAGCAAGAGAGCCAGAGAGAGCTCGCTTTTGTAACAAAGCCACTTCTGTGGTAATGGACCTACTCCCGTGATAGTGACATTAATCCCTTCATGAGGGCAGAGGGATTAAGTTTCTAGCATATGAACTTTGGGGTGATACATTCAAATAGCAGGAGCTTATCCAAACCCAAGGCAGTGACAACACAAGATATCTTTGTTGGTTTAGCAGAGATCCTTTGATCTCTATAGAATATTGTTCTTTAATTTGATTGTTTCAATCTGAAATTTAAAAATTGAAAAAGTTGTTTAGATGTGCCATTCATGTTGCTGCTGAGAAGTCATCTTCTGAAACTGTAGAGTTTTGAAAATGAAATAAATGTTAAGGATGATCATTTAGGAAGCTTAACTCCAGCTGGTCTTTATACTTCTTTTAGTTATTTCAGAAAGTATGATGAGTCATACGAGTATATCTAGCAGTTGATTTTATCAGGAGTGAAATGCTTATTACAATGGGATTGACAAACTTTTTCTGTAAAGCTTTAGATAATAAATATTTTAGGCTTTGTGGGCCATAGAGTCTATGTCACAGCTCTAACTCCACCATTACAGTATAAAAGCAGCCATAGACAGTATATAAATGAATTTGGCTGTGGTCCAATAAAACTTTGTACAGGCAGCAGTCTGGCCATGGTTTGCTAACCTCTGAGAACCAAAGTGTATAATATGTGTTATTAAGTTGAAATAGGAAAGTGTGCAGAACCTAGACTGGTACAGCCTAGTGAAACAAATGCCTGTTGACTACAAAAATGGGGATGGGGGAATGCAGCAAAAAACAAAAAAAATTAATGTGTTTGTTTTCACCCAAGGAAAATACTGTGTACCAGTACTTTTTATTTCTACTTATCCAGCTCTGTGCACTGATATTATTGAGAAAAGGATATTCCCTAAGATCAAGGTCGAGTTTTAACTTCTTGTTGCAGCACCCTGCTGCTGTAAAAGATCATGACTACGTTTACATATGTGAGTTAATAAAATCTCTATAAAATTAACCAGGATCTACTTCTTTTAGTAAGTGTGAGCTACAGTATAATTAAACCAACCAGCACTAGTCTCTTCAAGACATAATGTCCTTTTATTACGATGGAGGTATAATATGAGGTTGAAGTAAAGGTATTCATCTGTTTCAACCACTTTCTTTCCACTCTTAAGAATAGAACATTCGGCCGGGCGTGGTGGCTCACGCCTGTAATCCTAGCACTTTGGGAGGCCGAGGCGGGGCGGATTGCTCAAGGTCAGGAGTTCGAAACCAGCCTGAGCGAGACCCCGTCTCTACCAAAAATAGAAATAAATTAATTGACCAACTAAAAAATATATATATACAAAAAAATTAGCCGGGCATGGTGGCGCATGCCTGTAGTCCCAGCTACTCGGGAGGCTGAGGCAGTAGGATCGCTGAGCCCCAGAGATTGAGGTTGCTGTGAGCCAGGCTGACGCCATGGCACTCACTCTAGCCTGGGCAACAAAGTGAGACTCTGTCTCAAAAAAAAAATAAAAAAAAAAAAAAAAATAAAGAAAGAAAAAAGAATAGAACATTCCATCACATTAGTAAGAATTCCTTGATAGCCTTGACTGTCTATTCATTTATTCATTCAATAATATTGGGTTGCATATATGTTTCAAGCATTGTGCTGGATGCTTGGTATATAGTTGTAAACAAAACTGACATGATGGTCCTTGTCCTTATGGAACTTCAGTTTTGTTTGAAAGGTTACTTTTCCACCTATAGCTTCACTTTTTGAAAATCATTATCAAATATGAGGGTGTTGACATACATTTATAATTATTTCTATTTACTAATCCCTTCAGTGTAGAAGAGATTAAGATTCAATTTAACCCTAAACTAAAGCAATTTTATGACATATTACTAATTCACATAAGTATTCATGAGTCTGGTTTTCATCTACTATGTATTTTTCCTAATTCCAGGATGTTATTTTATTTTATTTTTTTTGAGACGGAGTCTCACTTTGTTGCCCAGGCTAGAGTGAGTGCCGTGGTACTAGCCTAGCTCACAGCAACCTCAAACTCCTGGGCTCGAGCAATCCTGCTGCCTCAGCCTCCCAAGTAACTAGGACTACAGGCATGCACCACCATGCCCGGCTAATTTTTTCTAAATATATTAGTTGGCCAATTAATTTCTTTCTATTTTTATAATAGAGATGGAGTCTCACTCTTGCTCTGGCTAGTTTCGAACTCCTGACCTTGAGCAATCCGCCCACCTCGGCTTCCCAGAGTGCTAGGATTACAGGCGTGAGCCACCGCGCCCAGCCTCTAGGCTGTTATTGATTACATGACTCACAGTCGACTTAAGACCTTTCAAGGAAAAGCAGAAATAATTCTATACTGATTATATAATAGATTTTAAGATGCATTCCTACTTCAGAAACCTTAAAATGTTGGGGAGAGAGGAGGAATAGGTTATAAGGTTGAAGAAATACAATATCTGAAGATAAAATATGTAGGTTTGAGTTTTACTGCAGTTTACTGGCTGAGTGTTTTGGGGAGAGTCATACAGCCTTGTCTGAGTCTCAGTTTTCACAAAGGTGAAATGGGATTTGCTGTATATCCTCACCATGTTTTGATTATCAGATAATAATGATACAGAAATGTTAGTAATTGTTCTTAAAGTCAACACTTTTTAAAAAAATCAACTCCCTCCTTTTGTTTACTTCCTTAATGTTTAGTGATTAGCTGCCTTGACCTTCACAGCACAACTGTTTCCTTTGTGTGAATTTGTAGCAGCAGAAATGATAGGTTTGCCAGCTTCCTCCAGAGGTGTAATCTTAGTTCAAGATAATGATGGAATTCAAGAATAAAAAGAAATTTCTTTAACTCCTAAAATTAAGAAAGTTTTTTTTTATTATGAGTCAATAGTGGATTGAGTAAATTGTGATCTCCTCTACATAAAATACTCTAAGCCTCAGCAAAATTCTAAGCAAAGTTACCAGATAAACAGCTAAAGGAAAACTGGTTTATTCTTATAAATTTATATGATTATAAAAGTTATCTGGGTGTAGTGGCTCACACCTGTAATCCTAGCACTTTGGAAGGCTGAGGCAGGAGGATTGCTTGAGGTCAGGAGTTTGAAACCAGCCTGAGCAAGAGTGAGATCCTGTCTCTACAAAACACAGAAAAATTAGCCGGGCAAGGTGGCTTGTGCCTGTAGTCCCAGCTACTCAAGAGGGTGAGGCAGGAGGATTGCTTGAGCCCAGGAGTTTGAAGTTATAAGTGAGCTGTGATGACACCACTGCACTCTAGTCTGGGCAACAGAGTGAGACCCTGTCTCCAAAAAAAAAAAAAGTTAT